ATAGGCTTATGGTTGTGGGACATTAATTATTATTATCATAATATATTACTGGGTGCTATTGTTCAAGTATTTTGTTTTTTGTATCATTTGTACGTATATTTGGGTATTAGGGATTTATTATCATTTAGTTATAAACCAATAACTTTTATAATATGATAAATCAGTGATATTACATGTTTTATATTAGAATTTGCTGGTAAAACCTACTTGTTCACTGTGAATGCATTTCAGCAATTTTGAAGTTATTATGGTTCAGTCAGATTTTTTAAGTACAAATTAATACTAAGAAAATGACATTTAATTATAAAAATAGAGAAAAAAAACATGAACCCTAACGAAGGCTCAATGTGACAACTTATTTAAACAGTTTCTTCATATATGTATAATAATCATGGAAATTTTAAATACCAAAGAACAGCAAAAATCGCATGTCAGTTAGTTTGTTACTCTAGTATTTTTATCCAAATATAACCATGTTGTCTTCTCTTATGTAAAACACAATTGATAGACAGTAAAAGATTTGTTTGTCTGATAGTCGAACACGCGAACAAAACAGAACATAACAAAACAGTAAACTTATTTGTCTGATTTGAACATTTACAGTACATAGTTAAATGCCTACATTTGTTTATATACATGAAGTAATGTGACGTTTATAAGTGATATAATATTAAATTATATATTGACATAATTATATATGTTATACATTTTGTTATAATCAAATCATATAATTAAATGCACATGCATGTTGTACTCTAGCACTACATTTGATATACTGAAATATTTTGTATTGCATATACTATATATAATACAAGAGGGCCATGATGGCCCTGAAGTCGCTCACCTGTATATAGGCCCTCGTAGCGGGGTCAGTTTTAACCCCAGGGCTTTTATTTGAACAAACTTGGTAGACACCCATTAGAAGATGTTTCATGTTAAACATCTAAGGTCTAGCTGGTCAAGTTTTTTCTTTACACATATAGTTAAAAACAATGACACACCTGGGGCAGGGCCAGTTTGAACCCAAGGGCTTTTATTTGAACAATCTTTGTAGACACTTACTAGAAATGTTTCATGCTTAATATCTGAACTCTAGCTATTCGGATTTTTCGAAGAAGATTTTTAAGTTTTTGCTATACACATATAAGGAAAATCAATGACCCCCGGGGTGGGGCCAATTTTGACCCCAGGGCTTTTATTTGAACAAACTTTGTAGACACTTACTAGAAGATGTTTCATGCTTAATATCTAAACTCTAGCTATTTGGGTTTTTTCAAAGAAGATTTTTAAGTTTTTGCTATACACATATAAGGAAAATCAATGTCCCCTGGGGCGGGGCCAATTTTGACCCCAGGGCTTTTATTTGAACAAACTTTGTAGACACTCACTAGAAGATGCTTCGTGCTTAATATCTAAACTCTAGCTATTTGAGTTTTTTCAAAGAAGATTTTTTAAGTTTTTGTTATACACATATAAGGAAAATGAATGATCCCCGGGGCGGGGCCAATTTTGACCCCAGGGCTTTTATTTGAACAAACTTGTTAGACACTCACTAGAAGATGTTTCATGTTTAGTATCTAAACTCTAGCTATTTGGTTTTTTTCAAAGAAGATTTTTTAAGTTTTTGCTATACACATATAAGGAAAATCAATGACCCCCGGGGCGGGGCCAATTTTGACCCCAGGGCTCTTATTTGAACAAACTTGGTAGACACCCATTAGAACATGTTTCATGCTAAATATCTTAGCTCTAGCTCTTTGGGTTCTTTAAAAGAAGATTTTTTTAAGTTTTTACTATATGCATATAGGGGAAATCAATGACCCCCCGGGGCGAGGCCAATTTTGACCCCAGGGCTTTTATTTGAACAAACTTGGTAAACACCCACTAGAAGATGTTTCATGCTTAATTTCTTGGCTCTAGCTCTTTGGGTTCTTTTAAAGAAGAATTTTTAAGTTTTTACTATATGCATATAGGGAAAATCAATGACCCCCTGGGGCGGGGCCAATTTTGACCCCAGGGCTTTTATTTGAACAAACTTGGTAGACACTCACTAGAAGATGTTTCATGCCAAATATCTAAGCTCTAGCTCTTTGGTTTTTTAGAAGAAGATATTTAAAGTTTTTTCGTTCGGTTGCCATGGCAACCAGAGTTCTGCATGGAATGGAATTCTTTGAACAACTTTGTTAAGGCTTCACACAAGGAACATCCCTGTGAAGTTTCATTATGATCTGCCTTATGGTTTCAGAGGAGATGTCGTTTTAAAAGTGTGAACGGACAACGTACGACGGACGAAGAGTGATCCTAATAGCTCATCCTGAGCATATGCTCAGGTGAGCTAAAAAGCTATATGATCAAGATGGGTACCCGTGTTCAACTGTTGTAATTATGGGCGGACTATCATGATAAAGAAATCAAATACAAGTGATGACGATTATACCACTATAGATGGTTCCTGATATTCTCGGATTATCTATGATCAGAAATTACGACTGTATACATTATAATGTGAAATCATTTGGGGCGAGAGGAAGAAGCTATTAAACGATTTTAAAAACAAACAAAAAATGAATAACCATAAGATACGGAAGTGTCCTGGTGCAAATTTAACATGTTCTGTAAAAAAATTATAACTCCTGAGATAAAAATGTCTTATTAAAAAGCAAATGTAACTGTAGAAAAGTTTTAATAATCGTATTTTTTTTTGTTATACAATGTTCGTAAGAGAGTAGATTTAATTGTAGTTAAGTATGGTAGAAGGGTTCACAGTTTTGCTGTTTTACGCATTTGGATTAAGACAAAAGTTCATTTAACATTGGGTATTTCCCTCGACTGATCCTGGATTAAACTCCGTTCAAGTGGAATTAACTAGCATTGCATCGGTCAGACCAGGAGATTATCCGCTGTGCATAAGATTATCCTAAGTTCATATAATTGCTAAATTTTATTAGATTACACGATTTTTGGTCCAATTAGCATAATGTTTTGATTTTATGTGACAGATAAAATATCCATTGGACTTTTGCAGACAATATAAAGGACCCGTTGGTACATTGGTGAATATTACATGTAGGGTTCGCACTGAACATGTGTACATTAAAAATCGCACGAAGAAGTCGTGTATGAAATTCAGAACTGAGAGGGTCATGTGAAATCTTACTTTAATTAGTAAACCGGTAATCATGGTAATGTCCACATGCGACCTTTAAATACACGTAGGACTAAAAGTGTGCCATGTGGGGTACATTTTTTTAGTAAGAATTACACTCTTTATATATAATTTACAAATGACAAATCTGGTTAAAGTATGTTACTAAATTATAGAACTAGCACGAGCGTAATACATGTACATAGCCATCACTTAAGTGTCCGAATCAAGTTTACTTAGTAGAATCAGGGTCGGAATATATTTACCCTCGCAAACACATTTATACTGCATAAAATAAAGAATTGCCAAGAATTTTCTCTTTTACAGAGCTAGCCTATATATCTCATTCACGTCTTCTCCAACTCTTCGATTTTTTGAAACGTAAGACCTAAAATTACATGTTAACATATCTTAATACTAAACTTGGTAGTCTGTAATTTGGAGTCCTATATTTTACATATCGATTTTGTATCGTAAGAATTTATAATTATATGTTTACGGCAAATATTCAAGATGGTTATATTCAGAAAGTTTTAGACATTCCGTCTTTACTTTCCCTTTTAAAATCGGAATTCTCAGCAAAATGCGTCCAATTCAGCTTGATTTTTAACACAATCGTATAAGAGCAAATGTCTCAGTACCTGCTTCTAAAACGTGAAAAGAAAAGACCCAATAAAACCATCAAACTTGTCAGATATTGGATCTCTACAGTACTATTACTACTTTACATGTAGGTAAACCTACCTTTAAAGAACGATTACCTAGTGATTTGTCAGTTAAGAAATAAAATTATTCTATTCTATCAACAGGAGATAAGACTGGCTCCTTCAATAAGATACTAGGTCATAATTATATGTCTATATATTGTAAGGCAATTAAATCCATAAACATCAAAAGGCATTTGGGTTGATACCGATTTGTGTAGATATTGACAATCTGGTGGTGCTAGCAAGTATTGTGGTGACAAATATCTACTTGTAACATAAAACAAAATCAAATGAACATAGTCATTTAGGTGGCAGCAACTCACAACTAATGATTGTATTATCCCATTATTTTGTTTTTCGCAGAGTTTCAAGTACAGTAAGTCATTTTGCACTTCTGGCTGACCCTGCAATGTTCTTCCTTGCATTACTTCAGAAAGATGCCGACATCTGGGTAAAACCACTGACCTCCGCTTAGCTGGGCAAGTTCCTCACTATATGGTCTTTCAAACAGATGTTATTCGAAAGACCCTGCTTAAAGTGCACGATTCTCAATGTCTTTAAAGGCGTTTTCTATACAACAGTGGGGATGAAGAAGTCAGTTATTTAAACAACCGGGGAGACCCATAAGCATTGTCTTCCTAGATAACACCACACTCTACTAATCTGCATCGTCATGTTTGTATATAATTTTTTCGAAAATCAAGATGACCGAAGTTTTGTTATGTTTATATTATAACTATTGAATGTCCATGACCAAAATGATTGAGCCATGTACAACAAGACCCGTGCTATTGATTGATGTTGGAACCAGAGTATCATCAAAGACATGAAGACCGAGATTAAAAGACATGTTTACAACATGACTTTTGACATTGTTCATCCCTGCTAATGAACTTGTACTCATTTTTTAATAACTATCAGCATAAGAAGAAAATGCATTGTATATATCAGGGACATAAATAAACCTATATAATTTTTGTGGTGTTTCTGGTTATATGTACTGAGAAATTTTATTGACAATGACATCCAAGAGCTTACTCAATGGAAATATACAATTAGCTGTTTTTTTGTATAGCCACCTAAGTATGTTTTTTTTTCTCTAACAAAAGAATGCAAGGGAGTAAAAGCAAAATATAATGATTACAGAACATGTTTAATAATTGTATTTGACTCTGAACAAGAAGTAAACATCCATTAAATCAAAGACTGAACCATCTGGATCTGTATTTAGGCATAATGTGAGATCCAGTCATATATAAATATTGTAGTTATTACATAGCACTTGTACAATATCGGAAAACGTTTTCAGAACTTGGTCCAATAAGTTTTAAAGTTCAAGGACAGTTTATTTATAGAACTCATGCTCAGTTTCATCTTTCTTGATATTATTTTTGTATCCCTTCTCGAAATCCTTGGCCAGAACAACATATCTGTTCTCCCTAACAGCTTGCATACCAGCCTGGAATATATGGGGAAAAACAAACCATATTTTCAATATTTTTAAGAGAAATGCAATGATAGCATAGCAAACAACCAATATATATTTTTTTCTTTTTAAATTTAAAATTTATTTTAATCTGATTTAAGGTCATTTATAGGGATAGGTATTTAACTGACAGTTATGAATACATGTAGAATATTTTAGTTTTGTCTTTTTTCCAATAATTTTCCTGAAACATGTAATTATGTGTAAAATAATATTACTTTTCAATAATATTAAGTTTGTTCTCTAGTACTTTTGAGAAATTTAAGTTAAAGTAAAAGAATGTAAAATCATTAATCGGAAATACAAACGTAGCTTCAAACATGCATGGTTTTCAATTAAAAAGGTTGTAAAATCATTCAACGAACAATGACAGTTGCAGTACCTCCTGGCAGATAGCATTAATGTCAGCTCCACTGATCTTGTCTGGTCTGGCAACATAATCCTCCAGGTCAACTTCCTCACTAAGGTTCATCTTACCAGTGATAGTGGAGAATATAAGACGTTTCTGACGACGATCTGGAATCGGGAATTCTATCTTACGATCTAAACGACCTGGTCGAAGTAAAGCTGGATCTAAAGTGTCATGTCTGTTTGTGGCCATAATCACCTAAAATGAATCGTTAATGATAATATATAGTACCAATTATCTGTAATAATCTTGAGGAAAAAATACATTTTTTTTTCAGAAGATGCAAAATAAGATTAAGTTTTTACAATGAATAGTTTTATGATTTCTGTATACATGTAGAAAATTCTAAAAACAACATCTTTTCCCCCATTAAAAGACAATTATTTCCCTTTTTCACTACGGAGCTACTAACTAAATTATAAGCAATTCTAACAAGACCCGCATTTTTCACTATTGAATATAGAAGAACCGAAAGTGTGTGTTATTATGCAATAAAGTCACAGTTGACGTTCTATATTAAGATATGTGATGTTATCATTATACATATGACATAACCACTAAAAATCCAACGCGCTGAAAATAAGTACCGAAACAAATCGGGGGCAATTTTGCTTAATATCAGGTACAGCAGCATTTATTTGTTGATGTTGTGTTAGAATCTAAATAATATATCCAAATCGGTGATTTTATCGCTTGATAACATCACTGTTTGTCGTTCTGATGCCCATCGTTACGCCCTCGTGATATAATTTGTTGCATCCGAACTCCAAACAGTGATGTTATTGAGCGATAAAATCACTATTTGGGATATATTATTTCTTAAATAAACAGAAGAGAAACACCCATTTACAATTGCATACAAATCTGCTGTTTATTTCTTAAACAATATTCTACATTTTTTGTACCTTCACATTGACTGTTTGATCAAAGCCATCCATTTGGTTAAGTAACTCTAGTAAAATTCTTTGAACTTCTCTGTCAGCTGTAATTGTAAACAATAAAACTAAACATGAAAACTTGCCTCAAACATACTTCTCCAACATTAATATCTTATATTTCAATCTGGACAAAACCATTCATCATTTTTGGGACAATTTTAAAATATATACTGATTGAATAGCAAACAGAGGGATAATTGATCAGATGACAGGGTCTGCAATGGTAGCATGGTTAGAATCAGTAAATGCAGGCAGGCTAATTATTCTAGTTGGCAAATAATCCCCCTAACATCCTGTGTCTATAAAACTTTACATAATAATGATAATGAAATTCAGTGCTTCTGTGAAATGAACTGGAAGTTAACTTCTTTCTGACATTGCTTAATCAACCTTTATGAAGCATCTAGGAATGAGTATTGAGGAATGAGAATCTGCAATATTTCTGATTGTTATACTAGAATTTTCCGAAATTAATACTATAAAAGTAAGCCCATTTACCTCCAGTTTGTGCATCAAATCTTTTGGTTGCTATAGCATCAATTTCATCTATAAATATAATAGCTGGAGCATTTTCCTTTGCAAGTCTGAACACATCTCTGACCATACGTGGACCTTCACCCAGGTATTTCTGGACAAACTCAGATCCAACAACTCTAATAAATGCAGCTGAAAAATAAATGTACATTGTTTCATTTTGCACTGTGTAAAAAAAGCTTTACATAGTCATAAATGTAAACAGTAAGTATTTTCTCATAAAAAATAAAAGTTTCATTTTTAGACTCGGGCAAAAAGAAAAAAATATGCTTGTTTCCTCTCCAAAAAACAAATATCATCCAATTTCACAATTTGTATTTGGATGGAAGTTAAACTTAATACATGCAATTAAATTTTAAAATTGCTATACATTTTGCTTTTCCACAGAGATTGTGTTAATAATAATAACTCAATTGTTTTATTTTTCTTTCATGAAAAAGGAAAGTACTGTCAAAACTCAAAATATTGTTGTCAAGCTCATTAGCTTATTGCCATGCCAACCAAAAAGACAAGAATAAATATTCATTTGTAACAGCATTTTCAAATGATATGTACCAGACGCTATAATGTTGATACCTCAATTTTTTTATTCTGACATTGAAATACCTTAAACATGAATCAAACTGTTCCAAATTCAAAGCACCTAACAAAATCCATTACTTAAACTTATTAGGTTAAAGGTTAAAAGCATTTTTACAGATTGATCAATAATACAATTTAGTAAATGAAAACAATACCTGTAGTGTGATGTGCCACTGCCTTTGCTAACATAGTTTTGCCACAGCCAGGTGGACCGTACATAAGTACACCTCTTGGTGGATCAATACCAATTTGTTTGTAGAGATCAAAGTGTGTAAGTGGTAGTTCTACAGCTTCTCTAACTTCCTGTTTCTGAATGTCCATACCTCCAATGTCTGCATAAGCTACATCTGGCTTCTCATCTATTATTATAAACAAGATATGTTTGTAAAACATGTATGCCCCCTATCAGCAGCCAATTATTCATGTGATAAGGTAATTATGCATGACTTCTGACCCAGTGATCAAACAATTAATAAGGGTTATCAAGTATCTACTGGTCATGACCTTGACCTTTGACCCCTTGACCCAAAACTCAATAGGGGTCATCTGCTGGTCAAGACCAATCATCATACAAAGTTTGAAGTTCCTAGGCCTAAGCGTTTTTAGTTAATTGATCAGAAACCGTTTTTACTTACAAGGTCAATGTGACCTTGACCTTTGACCCCTTGACCCCAAAATCAATAGGGGTCATTTGCTGTTCATGACTAATCACCATGCCAAGTTTGAAGTTCCTAGGCCTAAGGGTTCTTTTATTATTGATCAGAAACCGTTTTAACATACAAGGTCAATGTGACCTTGACCTTTGACCCCAAAATCAATAGGGGTCATCTGCTGATCATGACCAATCACTATGCCAAGTTTGAAGTTCCTAGGCCGAAGCGTTCTTTAGTTATTGATCAGAAACCGTTTTTACTTACAAGTTCAATGTGACCTTGACCTTTGACCCCTTGATCCCAAAATCAAAAGGGGTAATCTGCTGGTCATGAAAAATCACCATACCAAGTTTGAAGTTCCTAGGCCTAAGCGTTCTTAAGTAATTGATCAGAAACCGTTTATACTTACAAGGTCGATGTGACCTTGACCTTTGACCCCTTGACCCAAAACTCAATAGGGGTCATCTGCTGGTCACCACCAATCATCATACAAAGTTTAAAGTTCCTAGGTCTAAGCGTTTTTAGTTAATTGATCGGAAACCGTTTTTACCTACAAGGTCAATGTTACATGACCTTTGACCCCTTGACCCTAAAAACAATAGGTCATCTGCTGGTCATGACCAATCACCATACCAAGTTTGAAGTTTCTAGACCTAAGGGTTCTTAAGTTATTGATCGGAAAGCATTTTTACCTACAAGGTCAATGTGACCTTGCCCTTTGACCCCTTAACCCCAAAATCAATAGGGGTCATCTGCTGGTCATGACCAATTACCATACCAAGTTTGAAGTTCCTAGGCCTAAGGGTTCTTTAGTTATTGATCGGAAACAGTTTTTACCTAATTGGTCAATGTGACCTTGACCTTTGACCCCTTGACCCCAAAATCAATAGGGGTCATCTACTTATCATGACCAATCACCATACCAAGTTTGAAGTTCCTAGGCCTAAGGGTTCTTTAGTTATTGATCGGAAACCGTTTTTACCTAAGAGGTCAATGTGACCTTGACCTTTGACCCCTTGACCCCAAAATCAATAGGGGTCATCTACTGATCATGACCAATCACCAAATCAAGTTTGAAGTCCCTAGGCCTAAGGGTTCTTTCGTTATTGATCGGAAACCGTTTTTACCTACAAGGTCAATGTGACCTTGACCTTTGACCCCTTAACCCCAAAATCAATAGGGGTCATCTACTGATCATGACCAATCACCATATCAAGTTTGAAGTCCCTAGGCCTAAGGGTTCTTTCGTTATTGATCGGAAACCGTTTTTACCTACAAGGTCAATGTGACCTTGACCTTTGACCACTTAACCCCAAAATCAATAGGGGTCATCTGCTGGTCATAACCAATCAGAATACCAAGTTTGAAGTTCCTAGGCCTAAGGGTTCTTTTGTTATTGATCGGAAACCGTTTTTACCCAAGAGGTCAATGTGACCTTGACCTTTGACCCCTTGACCCCAAAATCAATAGAGGTCATCTTCTGATCATGACCAATCACCATACCAAGTTTGAAGTTCCTAGGCCTAAGGGTTCTTTTGTTATTGATCGGAAACCGTTTTTACCCAAGAGGTCAATGTGACCTTGACCTTTGACCCCTTGACCCCAAAATCAATAGAGGTCATCTACTGATCATGACCAATCACCATACCAAGTTTGAAGTTCCTAGGCCTTAAGGTTCTTTACTTATTGATCGGAAACCATTTTTGCTTACAAGGTCAATGTGACCTTGACCTTTGACCCCTTGACCCCAAAATCAATAGGGGTCATCTACTGATCATGACCAATCACCATACCAAGTTTGAAGTTCCTAGGCCTAAGGGTTCTTTAGTTATTGATCGGAAACCGTTTTTGCTTACAAGGTCAATGTGACCTTGACCTTTGACCCCTTGACCCCAAAATCAATAGGGGTCATCTACTTGTCATGACCAATCACCATACCAAGTTTGAAGTTCCTATGCCTAAGGGTTCTTTAGTTATCACTCGGAAACCATTTGGTCTACGGACCGACGGACCGACGGACCGACAGACCGACGGACCGACGGACCGACAAGTGCAAAGCAATATACCCCCTTTTCTTCGAAATGGGGGCATAATAAATTCATGCAATAACAGGAAAAAATTCAATGTTATACAAAATTCAGTATTATACATCTTATTTTCTGTTTCACATTTTTTTTTATATACTTATACCCTGGGAAACTATTTACTGAACATTTTTACTGAACATTTAAATCATATTTAATGCTAGCTGACTTTGCTGCAGTTTTACAGTTGTGTAACTGGTAATTAGTGTTCCCTTCCAATTATAATTTTTAATCTACTATTCACTGCAATTAAGAAATGCCCAATTTTTACTTATTTTATTGAAAACCTAAAATAAAATTATTCAGTAATCATTGATATTTCTGCATTGAGCAAATAAGAAGGTAGGGTAGAGTATATAAATTCTGAATAATTTCCTGGTTGCTTTTTTTCCCCATATTTTTTCCTATGCCTTTTAAAACGAGAAATAATTTTAACATGGTAATGGTAAAAATATTTGATAAAATGTAACAAAACTAAGAAGACAAATGTTTTCTTTAAGGATCATGATACACAAAATATGTAGGTATAAATGTTGTTAAAAAAACATCAGATGTGCTTCAGTAAATGAGCTGGTGGAAATCTTCACAACTTTGTTGTAGTTTCACCAGTTGAATAAAGGCCTATCTTTGACCTCTATTTTATAATTTTTTTTAACCCAAATCACTGATTTTATATTGAAAAATTTTACCTGCTCCCAGCATAGTTATGCTACTATCAGCTTCAGGTGGTAACACATCAACCAACGCATTACTGTGTTTATGTAAGGCTACACTAGCTGATGGTTTCAACAATTCCCTGTCTATTGTTGACAATATTCTCACATAGTAGTTAGATCCTGAAGTTTTAAATTGAAATATGGCTATATACAAATATGTTTTACGTAAATATTACATTTAATAATACTTGATTAAATCCATGGCAAGCCATGTACAAAAACAACATAATATAAATGACATTAATATATACAAAAGTTTAGGATATTTTACAGCAGTTCAGTTGTGACATATGATACACTGTGTCACAAAATTTGAAGTCATGTCACTGATGTCACTTTAATTTAACTAGATGTGTGTATCTTATAATAGCAAAAATATTTCTATTAACCAAAAATATTTCTAATGTTCCAGTAATTGAGGCATTAATAAATGTCTGTTTGTGTCTTTGTAATGCAAAATTAAGATAAGCCTTTCTGGTTTGATAACAGTACAAATGAATTCCTAACATAAATACTGCGTTAAAAATGCTTAATATCTAAAGATAACCAACCAGTTGTTGATCCAACAATTCCTGTGTTCTGATCAACAGCTTCAAGAAACTGTCCAATCACTAGTGGTACACTTTGAATGCGTTTAACCTCCTCTTGGGCATGTAGATATTCTTTCTTTAAGTTTTTCTGCTCATCTTTGATGTATTCTTCTTGAACCTCTAGGAACTCCAATTGTCGTTGAAGTTTCTACAATCATCAAAACATTTCCTTTATTATCATATAAATTTATTTCTTTATAAAGAGAAAATACATGTACATGTAGTTAAAATGAGGCAGTCAACGAGAGCCCTATCTATTTCTTTGTGGCCACATCTACCCCTGCAACCAGTGCAGGCCAGGATCAGCAACCACATCAGGGTTTTACTGTTGTCTATTCAGTCAATAACCAATGAAATTTTGCCTAAAATGGTCAACTGTTTTGTTCAGATTAAAAAATGGTCAGGTCCATACAAGATATTAAGCATGGTAATGGTAAACAAAGTCAATCTGAAGGTTAACTTATAAAGAATACTATTATTTTCTGGTACTTCTCAGATCTGTGGATTACAAACTATGTTGGGTAAATTGTGACTGTTCTTTCGTTTGTCAGCAGTTTGACAAACATCTATATAAAGTATGTTTTTAAGTAATATATGTTAATTAATAAAGAAGTATTCAAACCTTATATTTCACATACAAATCTTCAATATCAATGGCAAGAGGATCTACATGTGCCACTGCTTGAGCAGTTCCTGGACGAGATTCTGTCAGCCCAGAGTCTTCCTAAAAACAATAATGACAATAAAATTGAAAACTAAGACAAAAATAACATAAAAAACTTACTTATAATGAGATTTCAGCAAGAATATTTTATTAAATATCAGGACTATCTTACATTAGCATATCAACATGTCAGACAGAAGAATTTGCTTATATAACAGAGCTCCAGATAATTTTTTTAACCAGGTGGTTTATACCCCTCAAAATCAAGAGTCAGGCTAATTTTATAAACCTGTTTGACATGGCTGTCCAAATCTGTATATTCAAAGCTAAAGACTGTATATCAGTGATATTTGTCATGTAAACGTTATAACAAAGGAAGTGGCTAGCCGTACGGGCGCGTACGGCTAGCCAAAAGTTCTAACTGTACGCGAGTCACATACGACTAGCCAGGACTCACTGTATTGTCTAGCCGTACGGCATTTTTCAAAATTATATGGAAGTCGAACATGCATGTGTTATTTTGTGCCTCAAGATTATGATTTGTTGTTTTATTTGTATGAAAGATGAATTTTTGTTAATTAAGCACATGGATCGAATAAATAATGATCAGAGTGGAATAAATAAAAAGAACAGTGAAAAAAAAAATGGTGAAAAGCAAAAATAATTGTATTATTTTCAAATACAGTAGATAAATATGGAACATACATGTAAAAGCACAAAAAATTAATTAGCCTTTATCAAAGCCTACCCAGGGAGTGACAATAGAATTTTAAAATGCGTTTCACGGAACATGCAAACTTTCCTTATAATATATTAACAAACTTCTATACCGTTGGTAATTGACGCAATTATCAGAGCCCAACAACAATAATTTTCGTTTTTTGTTTCATTTTAAAGGTATCGAAAATTTAACTTAATGAAACAAAAAAGGATTATCATCAAAATTTTGTAAACTATTTCAATTGATGTTATTTAACTGCGACCAAACGCTATTTTTTCTCAAGGTCTTGAGATGACAAAGATCGATATTCGTACTTTTTTTACTGTACAGTAGCCAACAAGGCGATTAATCTCTAAAAAGTAAACATACAAAGGCAATACAGCAACTAGAGGATGCTTTTGTAAAAAAGCGCATGTCTCCCCCACTGCTGAGAATAACTGTGAATGGAAACAGGAATGGAAATGGAGATAAAAGAACAGAGTATATAAAACCAGACAACTGATATATCACTGATATATCAATAATAGTTAAATGTTCTCACTGATAAGAACTCTAGTTATCATCCGGAAATGAGAAAATGACCAATGGTCACTGTGACCTTAACCTTTGACCTACTGACCCCATAAACAAGAGGGATCATCTGCTCAATAAGACCAATCATCCTATGAAGTTTGAGGGTTGTAGGTCTAAAGGAACTCTAGTTATCATCCGGAAAGGAGAAATTAACCAACGGTCGCTGTGACCTTGACCTTTGACCTACTGACCATTAAAACAATAGGGATCATTTGATTAATAAGACCAATCAGCCTATGAAGTTTGAGGGTTGTAGGTCAAAAGGAACTCTAGTTATCATCCGGAAATGAGAAATTGACCAACGGTCACTGTGACCTTGACCTTTGACCTACTGACCCCAAAAACAATAGGGATCATCTGCTCTATAAGACCAATCATCCTATGAAGTTTGAGGGCTGTAGGTCAAAAGGAACTCTAGTTATCATCGGGAAACGAGAAATTGACCAACGGTCACTGTGACCTTGACCTTTGAACTACTGACCCCAAAAACAATAGGGATCATCTGCTCAATAAGACCAATCATCCTATGAAGTTTGAGGTCTGTAGGTCTAAAGGAACTCTAGTTATCATCCGGAAACGAGAAATTGACCAACGGTCAGTGCGACCTTGACCTTTGACCTACTGACCCCAAAAACAATAGGGATCATCAGCTCTATAAGACCAATCATCCTATGAAGTTTGAGGGCTGTAGGTCAAAAGGAACTCTAGTTATCATCCGGAAACGAGAAATTGACCAACGGTCACTGTGACCTTGACCTTTGAACTACTGACCCCAAAAACAATAGGGATCATCTGCTCAATAAGACCATTCATCCTATGAAGTTTGAGAGCTGTAGGTCAAAAGGAACTCTAGTTATCGTCCGGAAACGAAGAATGGACGAACGGACTGACTGACGGACGGACGGACAGGGCAAAAACAATATGTCTCCCCCCGAGGTGGGGGAGACATAATAAACACTTTCCCAAACTAGCAGACGACAGGCTATTCTTATCAGTAGGTTTTCGAGTTAAGATAACCGGTTGCGTATCTCACTGTATAAATCGTATGTAAAATGGTCTGACATATGGTAGGTTTAACAGTTCATTTTAATACTTTGGTGAAAAAAGATATCTAAAATTATATACTGTGACAAAGCTAAGATCCCAAGCTTTTCATTGATGTAATAATTTTTAAAATCGGACATTTAATCACAAAAAACTAGCAGTTTAAAAATGGCTTAATTTGTATTGTTTTAGCATAAGAGATATCGATTTTACTCAAAGATAAGGGAAACAACTCGTATTTTTTCACTCGATATACCTCGGTTATTTACGTGGTTCATATGAAAAGTGTTTATGCGTGTATTGCTGTTTCTTGGTTAAAATCACAGGCACGAGTATCGGACCTGGGATGAAAAAATATGACCAGATTGATAATAAAACCTGTGTTCATCTTGAAAGTGTCAAAAACAAAAAAAAAAAATGTAAAAAATGACCCCCTTTAAAATATACTATAAGTTAAGAGAAGGCCGGAAACTCCAGATTCGAGCCTACGAGCAAGGGATTCATTTCCCGAGCCGTTGTGAAAACAATTGGCCGGACAATTAAAAAACGACTTTTATCACTATTTCACGTTTGTATTAAGCTTCCAAATGAGACCGACCCCAAGTCTCTAGCCCTTCCCGTTCATGAAATATCTATCAGGAAACGAGCGAATTCGTGCTAAAAATTCTTGGTAGACAGAATTGCCGCACAACGATTCGGTACGTAAACATAGACTAAGACATGTTTGTCAGCTGAGTATGGGTCAAAATCACTTGAATTTACTAAATAATATTACTAAATACATTAAGTTGGACCACTCACACCTGTCAGTAGCATCTGATACACGTAAAATTCGAATTTCAAACCTTTCCACGGTATTTAGATTCCTTTCAACACCATTGTCAATCAGCTGTTCGATATTTTGTAACGAGTCTTCTGATTGGCCAATAGCAACGAAACCACAACGTTTCACACAAGGATGCATAATGGCGTAGAAAGCGATTGAAAGACCGTGTAAATGTTTGAAACTCGAATCTCATGTGTATCAGATGCTACTGACGGTTGTGAGTGGTCCAACTTAATGTATTTAGTAATATTATTTAGATAATTCAAGTGATTTTGACCCGTACTCAGCTGACAAACATGTATTAGTCTATGTTTACGTACCGAATCGTTGTGCCACAATTCTGTCTACCAAGGATTTTTAGCACGAATTCGCTCGTTTCCCGATAGATATTCAATGAACGGGAAGGGCTAGAGACTTGGGGTCGGTCTCATTTGGAAGCTTAATACAAACGTGAAATAGTGATAAAAGTCGTTTTTAATTGTCTGGCCAATTGTTTTCACAACGGCTCGGGAAATGAATCCCTTGCTCGTAGGCTCGAATCTGGAGTTTCCGGCCTTCTCTTAACTTATAGTATATTTTAAAGGGGGTCATTATTTACATTTTTTTTTTTGGTTTTTCACACTTTTAAGATGAACACAGGTTTTATTATCAATCTGGTCATATTTTTTCATCCCAGGTCCGATACTCGTGCCTGTAGTTAAAATCCTCGCTTAAAGTCATAAAATAACATATGCATTTTCAACATCCATATAATTTTGAAAATGCCGTACGGCTAGCCAATACAGTGTGTCCTTGCTAGTTGTACGTGACTCACGTACGGCTAGAACTTTTGGCTAGCCATACGGGCCCGTACAGCTAGCCACTTCCTATAACAAAAGGATCAAAATAAATTAGTCACAATAAATATTCAGGAAAGTTTTATTTCTTTTAAAAAAGATGTGATTTATGAGTAACTAGATCGATACAACGGGGTTCCAGGCCAAATAGGTCAAACCGTTTACACTAAATTAGGCTAGTCATTTCACATATCTTACCCCACCCACGAGATAATAGACGGAAAGTGACAAAGCAACAAATAATAGACTTGAAAAAAATGGGGGAATGGTAAAGAAAATTGTTGAAAATTTATTCCAATGTTCCATTTAAGTCACGAATTATTCGTATGCATAGATATAATCCGATAATATTCATGCTATTGTGTGTATATTTACTTTTTCAGGTAAAGTTATTCCAATTTCTTCCATGACGCCGGTCTGTTTCCTGTTTATAAGTGTTAAAAAAGAATTTTGTGAGAATTACTCAAAAGGAATTGCAAAGCAGGCTTTACACCTCTAAATATATATTTTAAAACATCATGTCGATAGTATTAATCAGTATCCAGGGTCTTTCAAATAGAATGGTCTAGAGACAGACCAATTTTACGAAAACTGCTGTCTCGGTTGAATCACGTGATTGGGTTATCTACCGACCGTGATAAAACTTTCATTTTTGCTCTTGTATTTAATATTCGCCCTTTTCTTGAACACTATTACATAATTTGCTTATAGCAAACTATACTGATTTATACCGAGACATGTTTAATTGTGCGAAGGGTTTACATAGCGTGTTTCCAGATCATTCTATTTGAAAGACCCTGGTATCATAGCGTTTATTTTATCTGTTTTATATATAGAAAAGATGTTTCTTAACCAGGAGAATTAAAATCCTGAAATTCAGAAAAAACGTGTCCTCCTCAAATCTTTTACCTATGAATAAATGTATAATTTGACTAGATCTACATGAATGCATGTCAGACTACACCCCCGCGAGGGGTTTTACCTTTTCGGAAGATAGATAGATTCCCCTTGCCATTTCAATATTTTGATTACGAGATTTATTCTTTATATCACATTTTGTAAGGTTCAGAAATATGAAACTTTTGCAGGTGTTTTATTGTATTTTTATCAGGGACGGATCCACCGGGCTGGGTCTTAAGGGGCTGAAGCCCCTAAACGCCCTTGCCTGTTGATATTTCCTCTAGAATCAAAAAAGGGACATACACTTTAAAGAGTTAAACATCTGAAAAACTGGTTTTTAAAAGATACATTTTGTAATCGCAGATCACTAGATCTTGGATAATTGGAGTCTGAACTCCTGCTGAGCTTCCAGTCATAACACTCTTTTGGCCAAAACAGTGCATGCCTTGACCGACACAATGTGTGTATAGGATAGGATAAGATAGGATAATCTTTATTTACAGTCGGTTACAAAAAAACACATAAACATTAGCTATATAAGCTCTTTTTCGACATTTAACATACTATCCTTTAACAATGCAAACAAACAATCTGTATAAAAGAAAAATATATCAAAGGATTAAAAAGATCAATGTACATTTATGAGTGAATCTATAAAACAAATTAGATTTATAAGCACATATTAATATGGATAAGATAGTATTAATTGATTAGAAGCAAATATCACACTACAATCAATCATCAGAGAATATTACATCATACTAGAATTCCATTTTATGTTCACTTATAACCCAATAATCAGAACTAGAAAAATTTTAAAATTATAAAAAGTTTAAAATTTTAAAATAAAAAATAATGATTCAATCATATTTCAATATGACTGACCCATATATATACATAAATATATATTAATAAATGTCGAATTAAATAAAAGTAGAAAAAGGTAAAAAACTGTAAAAAAAAACAACAACAAAACTAAAACAACTATTGTTCCCATAATAGGATATGTGTAAAGCTGATCAGCAGCTGCCACACTCAAAAACTAATACACTGACAAATGACTCTACAAGTACAGTATACAGAATAGTTGTAAGCACATATGGAGTACACAAGAAGCACATGAGAAGCACATAAAGAATAATATAAAACAAAAATACAGGCCTTATATACAGCATTTCTTAATGGCAGACAAAATACAGAAAAAAATCAAAAGAAGCATGCAGCTACATTAAGCATGAACTTTTTACTTCTTTTTTCTTTACACTCTTGGTATAGTCCAACTAATTGTAAGTGCACGTTGAGATAATTATGCTATTTTGTGTGTATGGGAAATATCTCCGAGATTGA